CGCCCACATGTTGCGCGGACTGTTAGAGACTTCTGTTCAGCACAACGCATGCAACTTCTTCCTTGGCCTGCTTATTCGCCGGATATGTCGCCTATTGAGCACGTGTGGGATATGGTTGGTCGGCGTCTCACTCGTGATCCGCGTCCTGCAGTTTCCAAAGACGAACTTTGGTTGCGCATACAAGCGATATGGAATTCTCTTCCTCAAGCAGATATTCAACATCTGTTTGACTCCATGCCACGTCGTATAGCAGCACTTATTGCAGCGCGTGGTGGCTGCACCAAATACTGATTTCGGACGCTTAATTTGTTTCTTTTGTTTTGAAAATTTCATCATTTATTTGTATCAGTACAAGTCGTTTCTGCATTAAATTTCATTTGATTCTGATGATTCTTTCATGGTGTTGCATTTTCTACAAACAGCAGTTTAGCTTGGAATGACATTATAAAACTATTGTTCCATGTTTTACTGTTTCACAACAATTCAGGAAATTAAATAAAATTATATCGCCGAATTAGTCGACTACCATACAAATCTACTCTCCCCCTTGCTTACTCCAAAAATTAAATGCAACGCAAGAGAATTTTAAAAGTACAAAATCTAATATTATATAGATTCAAAACCATTGTAAAATAATGTTAAGGCGGACTCTAGATAATATTAGTTTGTACAGAAACTAATGCTATATGATGCAGAGAAAACAGCGACGTTTTGTATCTTTTTACTTATCAGAAAGTTGTGCAAGATAATGTTATCTAAAATTAGGTGCTACTTGGGTTCTTATTTTAATTTAAAAATAGCATCGCAATTAATTTTAGAACTAAATATTATCACTTATATTATTAACATAACGTGATTGTTAAAATATCGCGCTTCATTCAAAGACAAACAAAAAATGTCATTGCTCTGTAAATTATACTAAGAATTTTGCCACGCAAAATCTTCATTCAAAGACATTTGTTTCCAAAAGACAGATTGTTTACATAAAGTTTGTATATAAATGTTTCCTTAATTTTGATGAACTTACGTATCATTTTATATACTTTATAATTTGATTTCTAAATTCATTTCAATGCTGCTTATTAAATAAAAAATGCACAGAATTTTTTTTTACAGTTTGAAGTCTTTTATTCAAATGTAAATTCTTAAGATCTATGAAACCAATATAAGTTAAGAAAAGGAAAAACAAGCAAAAAAACAAAACGAATCTGATAAATTTTTTTTGTTGAGGAATGATATCACTGCGTCATAAAAGCTAAGATATAAAGCAGTATGCTCACTTAATTTACTAAATTCATAAAACTAACTCAACTTATAAATTTTTATTTTTCATTAGTTGTTCGCTTTAACTCCTAAATTTTCCTAATTTTAAAAATCCTAAATTTTCATTCCACGATCATATCCGCAAAAAGGATGTGGGCTGATGAAGAGATCTTTTCTTTGTTTCGTTTACCGGATTTAATTTTTTTTTTTTTTTTTTTTTTTGTGACAAAGTCTCACTNTATTCGGTTTTTTTTTTTTTTTTTTTTTAAGATATCAAAAATTATATTTTTTTTTAAAAATAATTTTGAAAAATATTTTTAATAATTTTCTTTTCTTGTCATTATTTTTTCCATATTTTCTCAGTATTTTAACTTATTTTATGCGTTCTATATATTTGCAGCTTATGCGCAGTTAATAAAACTTATTAATTTTCTTCATTTTTTCTCTTTGTTTTTATTGTGCTATATATATATATATTTTTTTCTTCTTTTTTGCGTTATCTTTTGTTTTGATGCATAATAACTATAAAAGTTAGGAACTTGAAATTACACCAGTGTTATTTCGGAACTTAAAATATCATCTTCACTAATTAATTAGCATATTTGAGGTCATCCTTCAAATCATTAAGACTGATTCTTAGTACGTAAAGTTCACACACTAGCTCAAAAGTTATTCAATTATTATATATTGTTTTGTATGCTCACTGTACATCATTTAAAATTAAAAAAACACGAAAGAAAATAATCATAAAGAACATTCTAAGTTTTAGTTACATGAGAAGTTAAGCACGCTGAAAACGATTTTAATCTCGTCTTGCCTCCTAATTACGATTAAAAAAAATCAATTAAATACTGAAAAATAGTAAACAATTGTATTGTTTTAAATAAAAATTAAAAAATTTCAATTTTCAAAGACAAAGTTTTTAGCTTTTATTTCTGTTAATATATTTACAAAAGTTAAGACATTATTATCGATGATTCGAGATCATACCAAAACATAACATGAATCAATTACCTTCACAGTCTTGGTATTCGATTCGTCCAGCAAAGACCCAATGCACAACAGCAAAATAATAAACCAAAAGAACAAAATTATTGGCCATTTCCCTTCCTAATATAAATTTCTCTCCCTACCAGTTAAGAGTTGAGCGACTGAATGCATGGTGGTCAATATATATTTTTCCGCTGAATCTCCATTGTATCGTCATAAAAAAAGGTTTTTATTAAAGCCATTGTCCGAAAATAGGATAGAGGCCGTTAAATGGCCATTTTATTTTATTTTATTTATTATGAACCGTTTCATATTGTTTGATTTATGTCTTTCGTAAAAATGTGATTCTAGGTGACATTTACGAATCAATCGGTTGTCTTCTAAGAGTGATCCTCTTTTTATTGAAAAAAAAATTGGATAATTATTTAATAGAAGATTTTAATGCCACACAATTTGACGCATTAAATTTTTTGGATAAAAATGCATGCAACTGTGCGAGAATGTATACAAGTGTTGCACAATACAATCAAATAAAAAATTAACAATTATTGTACAACAGGTTAATAATGTATAAAATTATTTAACTGTAAACTTTAATGTATAAGAAGGCCACTTTTTTAACAATTTTCATGCTTCTTTTACAATATCGAATACAATTGTGGCCCAAAACATTTAAAAATCAATGTTACAGTTGGTTAAGATACATTTGAATAATGTATACATTTCTTTGTACAATCCAATTAAATTACATAGTGTACAAAGCAAATGAATAAATATCAATACCATTGTTACGTAATTAAACTTATTAACACTGCATAGAATAGTTATACAGTACAATCAAATAAGAAATGAACAAATATTGTACATTACAATCGGTTAACAATGTATAAAATATTTCAACAGTAAACCTTAATGTGAAAGAAGGATAAGCTATATTTTTAACAATCTTATATTTCTTTTACAATAATGAATACAATTGTTACACAAAACATTTAAAAATCAATGTTACAGTTGGTTAAGACACATTTGAACTAGGTATACATTTCTTTGCACAATCCAATTAAATTACAAAGTGTATAAAGCAAATAAATAAATATCAATACCATTGTAACATAATTAAACTTATTAACACTGCATAGAAAAGTTATACAGTACAATCAAATAAGAAATGAACAAATATTGCACATTACAATCGGTTAACAATGTATAAAATATTTTAACTGTAAACCTTAATGTGAAAGAAGGATAAGCTTCATTTTTAACAATTTTATGTTTCTTTTACAATAATGAATACAATTGTTACACAAAACATTTAAAAATCAATGTATACTGTTAGTTAAGATACATTTGAGTAATGTATACTTTTGTTTGTACAATGTAACTAAATAACAATGTGTACTAAACAATGGAATAAATATCAGTATCATTATTGGGCATTTAAACTTAATAACACTGCATACAATAGTTATACAATACAATTGAAGAAAAATTTACATAAGTTTCGTTAGAATAGAATAACAATGTAGATTATTGTGTTATAATACTATTGAATAACAATTGTACGTTGCTCTAATATAGAATTATTGACTTCAAAACGGAAATTACAGTTTTTGAGTTCGCATATTAGGATTCAGATAATGGGAAATTTAAAAATGGAATGGAAAATTTCGTATAATATTGGTAAATTAGTATATTAAGTTAAGTAAAAAAATAATCATAAAGCCGGAAATTATTAAAAACCCATGGTTATGCCTAACCGGAAAATTCACCTGAATATATTGATTAATTATTTGTGTTGAATTGCGAAAAAACAAAACACAAAGTTCCTTATGTTGATGGTACAAATTTGGTTCAATTCTCACATAGCCTGTTTAAATATAGAATTCTCAAGGCTGCTTTAATATAGAAATATGAACATTTTTATAAAAACTAATTTTTCAATGTAACGTTTCTTTTTTTTTTTTACTGTAACTTTAAAAATATTCAATAAAATTAAACAAAATTTTTATCGCAATATAAAGTCAATTATAAAGCTTTTGTTCATATAATTATAAAGCTTCTGTTCAAAACTGCGAAAGTGGAATAATTAAAGTAGTTCTTTTATACTACGCATACGTGGAAAATTTTCATATATCTTTTGCTTAATTTCGTTAATTGTATTTGGCAATTAATGAAAAAAAGTTTGAATATCTCAAAAATTTAAATTTTCTCATTATATTTTTAAATTAATCTTATCAAATTTTTTTGTTTTATCTTAAAATAGTTTTGTTTTTTTCTTCTTTTTTTTTTAAATCTCTGGTTGGTACACGCTGAAATTAAAACACAAATGTTTATAGCGTTTTACTATAGATCATCTTATTAAAATACAATTTTATAATAGATAATATTGAATTTTTTTGTTTTTTATATTTCTCTTACCTGCTAACAACTTTTATTCTACCTACCTTTGCTAACAATAGTGAGCTTTAGAATGAAATAAAATTCTGTATAATTATTTTTATATAGAATTAGGTGCGATATTATTTTAACTACTAGATACTCATATTTTTATTGTTTATACTTACCTGTTTCTATTAAAATAAAGTAGTGTTCAATGTTATAGCTTTTTCTTCGATAGATTTAACAAATTTTTTTCATAGAAGACGAAAGTCTTAAAAAACTGTACCATTAGAAACTTAAAATTTCTTTCCGATTATTTTTATTTGAAAAGTTCCGAAACACAATAATACAATCGGGATGTACAAAATGCCGGTCATATAGAAATATGACTTGCACTTTTGGGTTCCTTCAAATTATTTTTTATTTTAAAAATTTCCAAAATATAATAATAATACAATCGGGATGTACAAAATGCCGGTCATATAGAAATATGACTTGCACTTTTGTATTCTTTCAAATTATTTTTAATTTAAAAATTTCCTATATGTAATAATAATGCAGTATTCTAGAAGAGAAACTCCTTGATCTCTAGGACAGTGGAGTATATTCAGAGGACTTCAGACAAACGCCTCCCCCTTTTTTTTTCTTCTTTTATAAAAATGAGTAGAGACGTTCGTCTTTTTTAAAAATTGGTTAAAATGTTTGCGAGACAGGAAGTTAGATGAATAAAATAAGGTTCTGTTTAAAATTCCATACTTCATTAACATATACATTTTAAAATGAAATGAAATTCGATAAAAGTATTTTAACATAAAGGTACGTGCAATATTGCGTGTTTAATACTTATATCTTTATTGTTACCTGTTTTTATTAAAATAACATGAAATTTAAATACATAATTTAATTCGATGTCATGGATTTATTTTTCGATAGAATTAATTCCATTGCTTTACGTTGAAAGATGAAATTTAACACGAACAATTGCAAAGAAACCCTTAACAAACTATAATTTCTTCGAATTATGTTTCTTAAAAATTTCCTAGATTCTATAATAATTTACAGAGTCCAGATATACCAAGTGATATAGAAAGGACTACCTGTCCATGACATTCGAGTCAGAACATCTCAGATGTATAGTTTATCTGAAGTAAGAACTCCCCTAGCCATTGGTCTGGACCTTTGACGGTGACTATGGCAACGAGGTATAACTATCTCAATGGTCATTGTTCAGGAGGGTCATTGTTCAGGACAGGTTTTGGCTCTAGCCGCCGAGGAAAATTTTTATATTTTTCTTCGTTTTCTTGTGTATGGATGGTGTTTTCAGTAGAAATGTAAACAATAACAATCTCGAGCTCGGCACCTACTCTATTTCCGGTAAAAAGTTTGCAGCTGCTTACTACATGTTATTCTGATAGGCGATGTTTTCAAACGGATAATTTTGTTTTCAATAAAAGAAATAAATTAGATAATTTCTGAGCTCAAATCTGCCGTATTTCATAAGATATTAATATTATTATGTAATTCCGGGGAGTTTGGAGTGAGAATTTGCTTTAGTTATTTTGTTATTTATTATTAAAAAAGGTGACATGGTTGCTAGATTTTGAATTACTCGCTTTTTTGGCAGTCTTGATTTTGCCTATTTCCAAAAGTTTATTACTGTTTGTTCTTGTTGCAAGCTGTGCACCATCTTACGTTAGTGTTAATACTTTTTAAGATAAATAAATTAAACTTGNATTGTTAGCATTGTAAACACAAGTAATAAGTAATCAAATACATTGTTCGCAAGAATCTCAAAACACAATGATGCCAAATGGCTTTAAAATACAACGGAAACAGTAACCCGGAAATTTAGGCGGTACCGAGCTTGCAGCGTTCCCTAGTGTAGAAAACACCATCCATTGATTCATTATGTTAGGATTTTCGTATATTTTCTTTGTTTCGTTTTCGCTGATGCAGCGTTGCACACTCATTTTAGAAAACGGAAAAAACAGAAATCTTTTTCACAGAATCATCTTTTGTTAAGCAAAAAAGATTGTCTGTGTGCTTTTGCTATTGATCAAATGGATTTCTTGACGCTGTATCGGTCAAAGAAAATTAAAGTAAAAAAATCGTGCTATTTATACACGGAAGCCAGCTTTATACGTTTTGCAAGAATTTTTCTTCTAGTAGTAGCAAAGTTTAGGTATTAATATTTATCATTCAGTAAATTTGATTTTAAGTTATTTTCGTCAAGATTAAATGCAAATGATTCACAAGTGATCTTGATACAAAATCTGTTATGAATAACCTTTTAAAATGTTTCTGATTGTTTACCATTCTAAACAATAATTTGTTAAAAGCGCAGCTTTTTGCATCACTGCTGACTGATATTTTGTTCGCATTATAATGAATTTTCAAAAATAGGTTAAATAGAATATTTAGTTATAATCTTATTAAGTTGGCTTTCTGGTCTAGAGGTCATCGCCAATTAATAGGCAATATCGACCACATTATTGCCAGAATGGATGTGTTTTTTAGAAAATGTCCAAATAGCGAATGAAAATGTAGACCTTTGAATGTAGGCCTGGTTGTCTCTTGTTCGGCCTTTGAGCCTACAGCTCCGTGGAACGGTAGGTCCGATGATCACATTTTTCTTCTATATCGAATAGTATCCAGGCAAAATAGTTTTGCTGACATATACTGCATACTATATGGTATCGAAATATGCAATAAAAAATAATCGATATTTCGAAA